AAAAGAACCCATAGCAACAATGGCTAACACAAAATAAAATTTTATTTTCTCTCATAAAAGTTTAGTAGCTTGAAATGCATTCAGTGTTATCTGGGATCATCACTTTCCATCTTTTTGTTTTATCATCTTCAAATCATGGCCTTTACTTTATAATACAAGATAGCTGCATAATATCCATCCATTATATCTCCATTTAGACCAAAAAATAGGAAAAAGGAAAGGCTTTGTCTTCTTTTTTAAAGACTACTTCCATGGAATATTCCATAGGACTCATATCTCAATGGCTATAACTTAGTCACAAGACCACTCTCAATCACAACAAAAGTTGGAAAATACAATCTATAGCCCATATATCCACATGGGCAACTAAAAATGAGAGGTCTATTAGTGAAAATAAGGGTAAAACATACATTTGGGTGAAATGAGTAGTCTATGTCATACCCACTCAGACCACACCTATAGTTCCCACTGCTCACTAGGAGCAGATAGGGTCAACTAAACTGCCTGTTTGCATTGCTTATTAGAAGAGCACATGATTGCATTTCTACATATCAGTGTTGTGATTTGAATAAAAGAATTCTTGTTCCACTGAAAACTTAGCCCCAAAGCAATAAATGAATTCAGTTGCTGGGACAAGATTCTCTTTGAACTAACGATGCTTCCTCAGGGTGCTATTGGCAACTGTCATCCATTCCTACTTCTTCTTATGACTTTTTAAGAATTCTGGATCTAGAAGTCTTAAAACTCCATTTTAAGGATTCCTTTGAATTATTTTCTGGATGTAAATTTGGCTTTACCAGTGAAATGCCTTTGGATGATCCTGAGAGGATATGCAAAGGTCATCTACCCACTGTCATTCCTGTTGACCAGCAAGGTCAGAGAGATGTGAGTGCTCTCAGCCAAGCCAGCATTTCTGGGTCTAGCCATGAGTTTCAGAAGGAATTGGAGGTCATTGTGGCACCAAGACACTAGGTTCCAGTGCATTATCACCAGTTTGGGAGGTGATGGTGGGAGAAGACATTGTGGAAACAACAGTTTTGGTAGTAATAGCAGCTTCTTGATTTCTGTACTGCAACAATAGCAGAATGCCTTCAAAACCAGTTCAGTGCTGGCTCTCTCACTTTTGCTTGTCCAGTTCTTATGATTTTGTAATTCCTTCTAGCAAATATCTTTTCTGGTTAGATATACATTGAGTGGCTTCTGTTTTTTATTGTCTTCAATTCTTAATAATTCACCTAAATTCAAAATTGTACACCTTCACTCAAATTGTAAGGAATAGGAGCTTCTCAATTAGAGATTGTAAAGGAAAGGAAGTAAAGTATAAAATCATCAAGTAGTTAAAGTGCTATTTCCTTAAGCTAACACATATTAGTTGGCTTAAGAATAGAGAAGAATAAATTACAGGTACATTCCTGAAAAACCAAGGATGAAAATATTTAATAAATTTAATATATATACACATTATAAATATAAATATATGTATTTAAAAACAGACCATGGTCTGAAACCAAATCATAGACACTTTCTTTATCCCTTTATATGTAACACAAAAAATAAAATAAGTTTAAAAAATTTCATTGTTTGGAGCCCCTCGGTGCCTCAGTTGGTTTAACCTCTGACTCTTGATTTTGGCTCAGATCATGATCTTAGGGTCATGGGATCAAGCCCCAAGTAGGGCTTTGCCTTCAGGCAAGGAGTCTTCTTGGGACTCTCTTTCTCTTTCTCCTCTTTCCTCTGCCTCTCCTCCCTCTCCCTTTAATATAAAATTTTAAAAATTTCATTGTTTGTGAATAAATAAGGAAAGTGCTCAACATCACATCATACATTTTAAAAGATGATGGCTCACAAATCCTAAATTATAAATTGTTATCCTAAATGATGAAGCAAATATCAAATAGCGTAAACAGTACATGAGCATTTTATAAAAATAAAATATTTTGTTGTAGTTTTTAAGTTTATATAGCCAGATGATAAAATAACACACTGAAATTCATTAATTTATTCAACTCTCATTCATCTATATTTACTTCAACAAGTATTTTCCTGGGATCCCTGGGTGGCGCAGCGGTTTGGCGCCTGCCTTTGGCCCAGGGCGCGATCCTGGAGACCCGGGATCGAATCCCACGTCGGGCTCCCGGTGCATGGAGCCTGCTTCTCCCTCTGCCTGTGTCTCTGCCTCTCTCTCTCTCTCTGTGACTATCATAAAGAAATAAAAATTAAAAAAAAACAAGTATTTTCCTAAGCATAATAGAAAAAGAGCCCTCTCTATGGAGAGATTAAAGTTTAGTGGGCGGGTGATGGGCACTGAGGAGGGCACTTGATGGGATGGGCACTGGGTGTTATGCTAGAAGTTGGCAAATTTAACTCCAATAAGAAATATATACAGAAAATAAAAAAAAAATAAAAATAATAAAGTTTAGTGGGCAAAGGAGATCATTTGTCTGGACAGAATAACCAATGAATGGAACAGTGGCTTCAAAGAAAAATAGCCTCATATATCATTGGAATGATGGCAAAATTGAATCGTCAAATTGAAAAGACATTAGGCAGAGTTTCTCACTTCTGATATTGATGGTATAGATAGTTCAGATGACCCTCATCTGGAAAATAATAAAGAATAATGGACAAGACTCTTTTTTTAAAAACTGCTTAAGGGGATCCCTGGGTGGCTCAGAAGTTTAGCACCTCCCTTCGGCCCAGGGCATGATTCTGGAGTCTGGGGATTGAGTCCACGGATCGAGTCCGGGGATCTAGTCCAGGGATCGAGTCCTGCATTGGGCTCCCTGCATGGAGCCTGCTTCTCCTTCTGCCTGTGTTGTGTCTCTCCCTCTCTCTCTGTGTGTGTCTCTCATGAATGAATAAATTAAATCTTTAAAAAAAAAACTACCTAAAAAAATCAAAGAGGTAAAAACAGTAGAAAACATAGTGAAAAGAAAGCCCAATTTTTGATGGAAGCCTATAACGGAGGGGTAAACAGTGTATCAGAACAACAAAACTTATTAAAGCATTTAAAAATACATGCTTGTGGGCCTTGATTTGGTGCTGTTCATGAGAGTAAATAAATATCAATCAAGACTCAGGGCCAAGCAAATTTGCAACATATTATACAAAGATCCTCCCCATTTTAAGGGACCCCATAGGGCTACACCCTATACACACACACACACACACACACACACACACACATATACATAGGGTGTGTATATATAGATACACAACATATATATATATATATACACACACACGTACACACATACATATATATGTTTACATAGTATAGGTATTAACAAATCTAAAGATGCTCCCTCTCCTCATCTCCAGGGAATTATACAGAAGCCCCCCCCCCCATGTTAAGTAGAGCAGAAGAAAAATAAAAGATGTCTGGGTAACTGTAGCTACAGATTGGTCCTCATGTGTGTTTATATTTCAATATGCATGTTGAGTCGTGAGAAACATCAAGCCATAAACTTAGTTTGCAGTGATTCCCTACTGATAGTGATTCAAGGATCCTAGCTGAAACCAATGAAAATACATTATGAAGGATGAAACATGCAACCTAGGCTTTGAGGACATCCTACAAATAAATTTTCAAGGGCAATCAACCATATGAGTCACACAAAGAAGCAAAAATAACATACATGAGAAGAATCAGCAATAATACAGCAGAAATAGACCCAAAAACTTTATCAGAAGTCTCAGATAGGTTTAAAAACCAATTATGCTTACCACACATAAATAAATAAATGACATACTTGATAATTTGCATAAACAGTTTGGCTATTATGCACTGTCTCTTAAAATATAAAAGGTCTAAATTATGGGGATTATCCTTTTAAAATATATTGTAAATACTATAAACACTGATAAGATACTAGATATAACAAAGAGCATAAAAGTGAGGAGAGGAGGGAGGATATGAAAGAATGCTTCTTTGCTCATTTTGAAGCAGGCAGCTAATTGATGCTAATATCTTAATATGCATCATACCCTTGTTTTTTGATCTTATACGGATTATTTAAGCTTAAGCAAGATCTATAGTTTCATATAATTTGCTTTATTACATTCAAGTAAAACGTGATAGTTTTAAATCTAGCAATTTATTATAGAACCATTTTATGAAATTATTTCATCTATTAACTTATTAACTTGTTCTTATATGCATTCATAGAAATCTTTTAAGGATGTTGACTTAATAATTATTTGGGTGGTGAAATAATGATGCTGATTTCCTTTGTTTTCTGGCATGGAGTTCCCTCAAAAAGTTAAAAATAGAACTATCCCTGGACCCAGCAATTGCACTACTGGCATTTACCCAAAGGGTACAAAACTATAGATTTGGAGGGGTACCTGCACCCCAATGTGTGTAGCATCATTACCAACAATAGCCAAACCATGGAATGAGCCCAAATGTCCACTGGCTGATGAATGGACAAATATAATGCATATATTTAGAATAGAATATTACTCAGCCATAAAAAAGAATGAAATTGTCATCTGCAACAATGTGGATAGAGCTAGAGTATATTATGCTAAGTGAAATAAGTCAGAGAAAGGCAAATACCACATGATTTCACTCGTGGAATTTAAGAAACAAAACAGATGGACATATGAGAAGGGGGGCAAAAAGAGAGAGGGAAACAAACTATAAGAATCTCTTCGTGATAGAGGAAAAACTGAGGGTGGATGGAAGGAGGTGGGTTGGGGATGGGCTAAATGGGTGATGGGTATAAAGGAGGACACTTGTTTTGAAGAGCACTAGGTATTACGTGTAAATGATGAATCACTAAATTCTACTCCTGAAACCAATATTATACTGTATGTTAACTGACTAGAATTTAAATAAAAATTTGAAAGGTGAAAAAGAATCCTTTGTTTTTTTGTTCATCTTAAATATGTGCAAATCATGTGACTATATATTATTTTAAAAGAATGAGAATCATTATTCTCATATTTACTTATCCAAACCATTTATTATGAAAAAGTAATCATAAGTCTACAACATTTTTTCTGTTTAACAGGGATGGAATTCTTTAAAATTGTATCAGATGGTCTTGTTCAAAGATACCATTTTTGAAAGAAAATATTGAGCTTAGGAAAAACACCCAGATAAAATACTAGTTTCTTTGAGGAAAGACAATAGCATTTTCACAACAACACTACAGAGATCCAATCATTTCCAAAGTAATAAAAAATTTTTGTATAAATGAAAAGTATTTTTAAGATTGAAAGTCTTCATTTACAAGACACTATGCTGATGATAATCAGAAAACACAATTCTCCTAGTCATAACAAGGTATTACTGAACAAGCTCAAACATCAGGAACCTGAAAACATTGCTGACCTCCAAAAATCTGACCTCCCCCCCAAGATTGAGAAACATCATTTCTCCACTATGCACATGCAAATGTGACTTGGCTAAAAATAACAGCGAAGACAACAAACACCCAGAGGCTCAGAATGTAAACACTTCAACAAGCTGAAATAGGGGATCCCTGGGTGGCGCAGCGGTTTGGCGCCTGCCTTTGGCCCAGGGCGTGATCCTGGAGACCTGGGATCGAATCCCACATCGGGCTCCCGGTGCATGGAGCCTGCTTCTCCCTCTGCCTATGTCTCTGCCTCTCTCTCTCTCTGTGTGTGTGACTATCATAAATAAATAAAATAAAAAAACAAGCTGAAATAACTATAAATATGTCAATCATTATTAATGTATGCATATGCTGCTCTGTATGCGAATGAACAGGTTGCAAACTAATAGTACATTAATTATTATCGTTTATCTCCTCTTAAGGTGAGATGCTTAACTGAACCCAAAATGATCTCTAAAGTTAGAGTTTTCCTCGGTGGCCCTACCAGCCCCTTCACCCACGAAATTGGGGATAATAGGCTTGAGGAACTTGAACTCGCTGGTCCCAGTCCCTCCCGTCAGACACACCTCGTACTGGTAGCTCTGGGACAGGGTCCCCGCGCCGCTGACGTCCACCAGGTGGCCCGGAAAGTGGCCCTCGGGCACCGCGCAGCCACCCCCCGACGCCGCCCCGCTCCTCCTGCACAGCCGCACCGCCACGAACGCCAGCGCCGAGCACAGGAAGAGCGACGACACGGACGCCAAGGCGATGACCAGGTAGACGGTGAGCGGGTCGGCCCGGGCCTCGGCCGCCGCCACGTCCGGCAGCGGCAGGTAGGGCTGCGAGAAGCCGTCCACCAGCAGCACGTGCAGCGTGACGCTGGCCGACAGCGGCGGCTCGCCATTGTCCTTGACCAGCACCAGCAGCCTGTGCTTGACCGCGTCGCGCTCGCTCAGCAGCCGGGCCGTGCGCACCTCGCCGTTGTGCGCCCACACGCCGAACAGCCCGGGCTCCGTGGCCTTGAGCAGCTGGAACGACAGCCAGGCGTTCTGACCCGCGTCGCCGTCCACCGCCACCACCTTGGTCACCAGGTAGCCCGCCTCGGCCGCCCGCGGCACCAGCTCGGTGCAGGGCGCAGAGCCGTTCTGCAGCGGGTACAGCACGAAGGGCGCGTTGTCGTTGTCGTCCAGCACCAGCACGCGCACCAGCGCCTGGCTGCTCAGCGCGGGCGAGCCGCGGTCGGCCGCGCCCACGCGGACCTCGAAGGCCTGCAGCGCCTCGTAATCCAGGGACCTGAGCGCGAACAGCTGCCCGTTGTCCGCGTTGATGGACACCAGCGAGGCGAGCGGCAGGTGCGGGTCCCGGGGCGGCAGCAGCGAGTAGGTGACCTGGGCGTTGGCGCCCGCGTCCCTGTCGGTGGCGCTCACGGTGCCGATGTGCAGGGCGGGGCTGTTGTTCTCGCGGACGCGCAGGGTGTAGGTGGTCTGGCTGAAGGCGGGGGCGTTGTCGTTGACGTCTGAGACCGTCACGGTGATGTTGTGCTGGGTCTTCAGCCTGGGGGTCCCCAAGTCACTGACGGTGATGGTGATGTTGTACTCCGCCTGGCTCTCTCTGTCCAGCGCCCCATTTGTTACCAAGGTATAGAAATTCTCGACTGATGGCCGTAGAAGAAAGGGGAGATTGTCATCTATAGAACAAATAACCTGTTGATTTTGGCCAGAATCTGCATCTGATACACTGAAAACTGCCACTATGATCTCTGGGAGGTTTTCGGGGATGGCACTGGTGAACGACGACATGGTCAATTGAGGAGTGTTGTCATTTACATCCAGAACCTTGATCACTAAAGAGCATTTCCCTGATAGTCCCCCACCATCTGTAGCCTCAATATCCACATGATAAGATTGAAACTCCTCAAAATCCAAAGTCTTTCTCAGTCTAATTTCTCCTGTAATTGCGTGTATTTCAAAGGGTTGATTAACGTCATCTACCTGAAACAGGGCATAAGATACCTCCCCAAAGGGTCCTGCATCTAAATCTCTCGCTGAGACAGTGATTATCAGAGAGCCCAGGGAACTGTTTTCTGGGATCTGTGTCTCATAGAGCTCCTGAGCAAACTCGGGGGCATTGTCATTGATGTCCAAGACCAGGATCTGAATCTCCACGGTCCCAGACCGGGGTGGAGACCCACCATCCAGAGCCGTGAGAGTAAGCCTAAGCTCCGGCTGCTCCTCGCGGTCCAAGGCTTTGTCCAGCACCAGCTCCGGGAACTTCCTGCCATCGCTGCGATTGCGAGTGAGAACGTGGAAATGAGGATTGGTGCTGATTGTGTAGCTCTGAAGACTGTTGCTACCAGCATCTAAATCCTGTGCCATTTTCAAAGGAAATAGCTTTCCTGGTGTAGTAATTTCTGATATTTTTAGTAGCATTTCTCTGGCTGGGAACTCCGGGGCGTGGTCATTTATATCTCTGACTCGTAAAGCAGCCTGAAAAAACTGCAAGGGATTTTCCAGTAACACTTGGAAAGGTAGCACACATGGCTCAGTGGAGCCGCACAGCTCTTCCCTGTCCAGTTTCTCATTCAGCAGCAAATCATAGGTCTGTGGGTCAAGCTGCAAACACTGTCTGTTCCCCTTGAAAACAACCTGGGCACCCCGTGCAGCCATTTCTCCTTTCCTGAGTCCCAAGTCCTTTGTCAAATTGGCCACAAACGTGCCACTTTCTGACTCCTCCAGTACAGAATATTGAATCGGTTCTGAACCGGCTTCCCACAAAAGCATCCATATAATGAGAATTGCCACTTGCCTTTTCTTGCGATGTACTTTTGTTTGTGCCATCTCCTTTATGTCTGATCCCAGAGGAAAAAATCCTTTTCCGGTCCTCACCATCACGTCCACCATCGACCCTCTGAAATGTCTTTGCTGTTGAATTTCCAATTCGTCTTATAACTTTTTTTGGCGACGACTGCTGTCCTGGATGCTTCTATCTTATTTGGCTGTAAATGTGTTCTGTATTTTGGGGGGCTTCTGAATAAATTGAAGTCCACCGAATCTGCAGAACTCTTACTCACTCTCTTAGCCTGTACTGCCACCACGCGTTCAAATCAATAACTTCAGGAGGTGAGTACAGGCAATACCAGTTCCCAAACCTGAGCCTTAGAATGACTTCTAGGTGGAGTCAGTATTTCTCAAATTGTAGTGTGTGAACCACATGCATAAATAATTACTTGGGAGTCACGAGTGTTTTTTTTCAAGGTCAACTCCTGGGTTTCCCTCCATATCTTGAATGAAATTCTCTGGTGATGCTAACAGACGAAAATCTGCATTTAAATCTCTCTCTTTAAGTGATTCTCATGCATGCTAATATTTAAGAATCTGGTAATGTAAACTTCCTATAATCAATTTTTATTCTTTGGCAGTCAAATTTATCTCTGATGAGTAGTGTGATTTGTGAATCCAAGAAGGACACTATTTAAATGTTCCAACAAACAAATCAATAAACTATACAAAATGTAAAAGTTGTTTAGCCATACCAATTAAAAATAAACAATTTTCTTTTTTAAAAAAATTTATTTATGATAGTCACACAGAGAGAGAGAGGCAGGCTCCATGCACCGGGAGCCCAACGTGGGACTCGATCCCGGGTCTCCAGGATCACACCCTGGGCCAAAGGCAAGCGCCAAACCGCTGCGCCGCCCAGGGATCCCTAAAGATAAACAATTTTCTCTAAACTATATGGCTTATAAAGTGGCATGAATAACAGACTTAATTTATTTTGTGGTTACATCTGCACAGTAAGAGGAACACAATTAGGCTATTAGGAGACATAATTACAATAGAAGTATCTAATCAATTAAATAAAGAGGAAATAGCAGTGCACTTGGGTGTACAGTAGGTTAAGCCTGGGACTCTTGGTTTTGGCTCATGTCATGATTTCAGGGTTGTGAGATGGAGCCCCCAGATGGCTCCAAGCTCCCTATGAGCCTGCTTAAGATTCTCTTTCCATCTTCCCTGCCATCACCCCCCTTGCATGCATGCACACACACTCTCCCTCTCTCAAAGGAATCTTTAAAAGAGGAACTAGCAACAATCAGTAGTCTGTCATAAGTAGGCATTTTAGGATTTTACTTCATTTTTTATGGGTAGAATTGGTCATGATTTCATTCATTTTATTCTAACTTTTAAATCAAATTTCCCTGCTATATTAATTAATCAGGACTCAAATATATTACCCTGCTGTAAGGACATAATGCAAAGCAGAAAACAAACATTCAAGAATCACCTCTACTACCCTATCACAACAAAGATGACCTAGTTTCTATAAATAAACCCCATATAAGGTAATGTGAAAGGTGAATTACATTTGAATGGACTTCACGGAATTCAGTGATGGTTCATTGTGGCTATATCCATTTCCTTCTCACCAGTTTCTGCTATGGCAAATAGGAAAATATGTCTCTAAATATCCTTAAAGTACATGAAATGGATCAGGGCCACATATAAGAACACAAAATGTAACAATTTCATTTCAGATTGATTTCATATTTATTGAGATGGGAAATCAACTGAGTTCAACCAAAGTTCACATCAGGTAAGAGCCAAAATGATGGAACATTAAAAATGAGGATATTTTTCAAGATGTTTCAACTCTAGGTAAAATCAGTAAAGCTAAATAAAGCCTAAACTCTGAACAGATGAAATAATTTTATAGTTAAAAAGCATCTCTATCTACCCCGAAGGATAAAAGTAAGATTACTGTGATCAGCCTCCATGGTTCACTTGATAAATGTTACTGAGAATAGACTTCCTTGGGAATATGAATAACAAACTAATGAAGTAAAACCAACAATCATAAACATATTAGATGGGTTTAGTTTCTTCTTTGGAATAAAGTCATTTCCAACTCTATCTTAAGTGCTTCTTTCCTTCAGTGGGCATTCTGATTCCAGTTTAATGGCATCCCTGGCATCTGTGTAGTCATTTGTGCATGCTCTTTGTCCACAGTGTCACCAGGCATCTTCACATGTACCTTACTGGATTATTTTTCATTTTAAAGCAAATTTTACTAGCAGTACAGTATCTGTAAAACTCAATTTAGATCACTGAAATGTCTTTGAGAACATTGCTTGTTATGACAGAGAGGAAGAAGATCTTAATGTATAATCCAAGGACATCAGTTGGCATGTGAAGAAACTGCCTTTTTATGGAAATGGATTACTTTAGATTCTTTCAGGAGAATGCTTCTCTGTTTATTCTCTTTTGCTTTCCTTTGCTTTGCTAGAGTAGAATTGAATTGACATTTACAAACTTAAATCACAAGTAATAACTCTTTAACATTGGTGGAAAAAGTTCAACGCAGAGAGCATACAGCATAACTTCCATGTACATATCACCCAGCTTCACAACATCTTGTCTTGTTTCATCTACACCTTCCCTTCCACTCTCCACCTCCCACTAAATGTTTGTTTTTGTATAGTTCTTTTCTTAAGGTAGTGTCTACCCAAATTGAAATGCACCAATCTTAACTGTACCATTTTTACAAATGGATCCATCCATGTAACCCACACTTCTTTCAAGATATAGAACATTTCCATCATTCATTGGGCATCTTATTAATCATATTTTCCAGCTTAATTTTAATAATTAGATGGCAAAACCTTGGTGTTCTCTGGACACAACATAGAAAGATAAACAATGTAAAAAAGCACCATACCGTATTCTCATTATGCTCATGTATGCTTATGTGAGGTGACAGATCATTAAGATTAATTTAACTGATTATTACCAGTCAGCTGAAATAATACTTTGGTGAAACATTGTAAAGTATATTAAACTAGATTTCATTTAATTAGCTTACATTTATTCATAGCTCTTCAAGCTGGTTTCCATTTTATGCTATAAATGTTTATTTTCCTTTCATTCCATTATAAATTTTTAAAATTCTAATGTTCTAAATGTGAGACAGGAATCCATCAAAATCCTAGAGAAGAACACAGGGAGCAACCTCTTCAATCTCTACTGCAGCAACTTCTTGTTAGACACATCTCCAAAGGCAAAGGAAACAAAAGCAAAAATGAACTACTGGGACCTCATCAAAATAAAAGGCTTTTGCACAGCAAAGGAAACATTGGAGAAAACTAAAAGACAACGAACAGAATGGGAGAAGATACTCGAAAAGTCTTAATAGATAAAGGATTAGTATCCAAAATCTATAAAGAACTTATTAAACTCAAATAAAACTTATTAAACTCATCCAAAAAATAAATAATCCATCAAGAAATGGACAGAAGATATGAACAGACATTTCTCCAAAAAAAGACATACAAATGACCACCAGACACATGCAAAAATGCTCAACATCACTCAGCATCAGAGAAATACAAATGAAAACCACAATGAGATACTACAACACACCAGTCAGAATGGCTAAAATTAACAAGTCAGGAAACAACAAACGGCAAGGATGCGGAGAAAGGGGAAACCTCTTGCACTACTGGTGGGAATGCAAGCTGGTACAACCATTCTGGAAAGCAGTATGGAAGTTCCTCAAAAAGCTGAAAATAGAGCTACTCTATGGCCCAGCAATTACACTAGGTATTTACCCAAAGGATACAAACATAGTGATCCAAAGGGGCACCTGCACCTCAATGTTTATAGCAGCAATGTCCACAATAGCCAAACTATGGAAAGAGCTATCAACAAATGAATGGATAAAGAAAATATGTATATGTATATATATATATATATATATATATATATATATATATATATATATATAATGGAATATTACTCTACCATCAAACAATGAAATCTTACCATTTGCAACAACATGGATGGAATTAGGGTATTATGCTAAGTGAAGTAAGTCAATGAGAGAAAGACAACTATCATTGGATTTCACTCAAATGTGGAATTTAAGAAATAAAATGGAGGATCATCGGGGAAGGGAGAGAAAAATTATATAAAATGAAATCAGAGAGGAAGACAAACCATAAGAGACTCCTAACTATATGAAACAAACAGAGTGGCTGGAGGGGAGGTAGCTGGGTGGATGGGGTAACTGGGTGATGGGCATTAAGAAGGACACGTGATGTATTGAGCAGAGTGTTATATGCAACTGATGAATCACTGAACTCTACCTCTGAAACTAGTAATACACTATATGTTAATTAATTGAATTTAAATAAAATATTTTAAAAAACAAAAAAAATTAAGAATAAAAATTCTTCAATTTACTAAAAATGAAAGATAAAGACTAACCTTAAAATCTTCTTTAATTTTGTGTGGGAAATATCAGAAAGGGAGACAGAACATAAAGACTCCTAACTCCTAACTCCTCCTAACTAGGGGTGGTGGAAGGGGAGGAGGGCGGGGGGTGGGGGTGAATGGGTGACGGGCACTGAGGGGGGCACTTGACAGGATGAGCACTGGGTGTTATTCTGTATGTTGGTAAATTGAACACCAATTAAAAATAAATTTATTTAAAAAATCTTCTTTAATTTTATTATGAATCTCTTAAAAATCTTATTTAATTTAGCTATATGTAAGAAAGAACAATAATTTAAGGCATAGATAGAGGTATGTAAGCAATCACTTAAAGAACTCTCTGAATTGATAGGAGAAATGATGCAGGAAAGTTTGAAAATATAGAGGATTTCAGGGCTGCCTGGGTGGCTCAGTCAGTTAAGCTTCTGACTCTTGATTTTAGCTCAGCTCATGATCTCAGGGTTGTGAGAACATTGAGCCCTGTGGCTCTGAACTAGGCATGGAGCCTGCTTAACATGTTCTTTCTCTGCCCTTCCCTTCTCTAAAAAACAAACAAACAAACAACAAAGAACCAGCTTTTTATTTCATTGATTTTTTTTAGGGGATTTCATTGGTTTATCCTATTATGTTAATATTTCCTTCCTCCTGCTTCTCCTGCTTGATTTTGGGTTTTACTCTTCTTTTTCTAGATTCTTGAGGTGGGAGATTAGATTATTGATTTGAGACTTCCTCTTTTCTAATGTATGCGTTTAGTGTCATAAATGTCCCTCTCAGCACTGCTTT